TTGCAGATACATGGTCGCTGCATGTAGCGAATGAAAATTCACAATATTGTCATAAGCTTAACATATTAAACTCATTTTTGAGAAAAATGGACTTAACCTAGTCTGGCTCTGGGGTACAGGTTTGTAATCTGTTTACATTACAATGACTTTATTTGATTATTCAAAATTGTAATATATGAAGGAACTCAAACAAAACACATACAAAATACACAGTTTCTTAATTGTTAAACATTATCGTTTATTGTTTATACAGAAGTATATCATCAAATACATTTTATACATGATATAGAGTATTTATAGCGTTAGGACTTATGATTTCAATAATTTGACTTCAGAAATTCATGAGCATTATCATAAAAACAAGTAAAAAGAAAACAATATATAAGACAGTTTGCACAACAAATAAATGCAGCATTTTACAAGTTTTTCTTGAAAACAAACTTCGTTCAATTTCATGAATTTTTCTCGATGCTTAGATGGCTTTGCAGGCATACTTGATGATTTTTGACAAGACTGAAAAAGACGATAAACGAACTGGATTTTAAAACAATCCTTACGAGACTTAAATTCCCAATTTTGTTTAATCAATCGCGAACAGCTTAGAATCATTTTTTAATCAAATTTTTAGCATCACAAGGTTGTACGAGTGAAGTACACTTTGCATTTACTACTTTAATAGCACAAGTAGATACTTTCTCATTATCGAATCTTTAAGTTTGCAATGGTTAAAGTATTGTAAATTCAGTAATTCACTATTCGATAATATAGATGAATTTGAAACAAGGGTCGTAACGTGTTATCTAATTATAAGAATTTTTTTGTTTGGAAAAATCTATGATTTTTTTTGTCGACAATGGTAGAAATGATTCAAAAAGATTTTGGGAAACATTGTATGAGTCCTATAGTTCGTGGATTTGCCTACTATATAAAACATTCCTGTAAACTTAAAACGAAAACGATATCGACGAAAATGAGTTTCTGTTTTCGCATATACAGTGAGAACCAAATTTGTTTGACGGCTTGAGTTCAATATTTACGAAAGAGAAGAGTGTACGTTAGAAAGAGATAGAAGCCGGGTGGATAGCAAAGCTCATCATCGCGTTGCCTAGCAACGCAGACGTTGCCAATATTACACCAGTTCCTTGAATTAAGGTGCATGTTGACAATACCCGTGAGTTGTATTTTGAGCGTACACCTTTTAATTGTGTCGACTCCGGATTGATGTCAAATGATTTCGCTTTATCTTGTGAAGAAAATGGTATATGCCCCTATTGGCTTTTCTCGAGTAATTTAGCTGGTGGCTCAAATATTCATTTATATAGATACGTCGTTCAAAAGTAAATTCGTCCTGCAATATGCAGTTAGAAAAGAAAAGTCTACCATAGACGCACTTAGTGCATTGGTGCAGCTGGCAGAAGCAAGCGATAGCGGCAGCTACAGTAGTAGTAGTAGATATTACAAATCTTTACGTTATGGTTGCCTTTGACGTTAAGATTGACTCTAATACTGCAGTGGTAATACATCGTTAGACCGAGAAACTAGGCACTCCTAGCTATCTATTGAACATAATAAAGCGCTAGCGATGAAGGTAGCCATGGGAGTTCCGCGGGGTTCCGTCCTAGGACCGTTGCATTGAAACGGGTTCTACGCTGGGATCCTTCGATTACAGATGCTTCCGGGAATCCGCGCTTATAATTTTTGACAGAATCTATCGTCACTATCTGTCGGTGCATGGGTGGGTGGTAAAGATCTGGGAATGACTGAACACATAAGGCGTACCAGTGGTAAGGTAAATAAGGTTGTTGGATCCCTGAAACGACTGATGCCATTTGATCGAGGCCCCAGTGGTGAGAGGCGTAGGATTTTGGCAGGGGTAGCTAATTCGATTATGCTGGAGCCGTTATCTATAACAAAGCGTTGAGAAAGAAAATTTAGTTAACTGATGCTCAGAAGCCAGCAAAAAGTAGCGCTGTGCGTGGCCTGTGCTTACAGAACGGTGTTGTTTGATGTACTACTGGTGGTGGCTGGTATCTCGCCAACTGATTTGCTGTCTGAGGAGAGATGCGTGCTCTATAAAAAGGGCGCCGAAGCTAGAGAGAGGCGCTTTTTGTTAGATAAAAGGATAGATGTGATGCAACTGGCCATATTGCATGGTCTCGAAGGTTGACTAGGGATATCAAGACTTGGATTGACAAGTGAGCGAACTGCGTATATTGGGGCGAAGAGGAGGATACTCCTAATCATCTACTATAATGTGGTAGATCGGTCGATTACCAGAGACAGCTGAGTTGATACTCGGCTGCTCATAATTTTGCCAGGCATGTAAGCGAGGGTAAATGGGTTTATATTCAACCCAGAGATAGACCAAGGAACCAACAGGTTTCTTTGTATGCTGTGCATGTAAATAAGTACATATGTAGATGCACGGCGCTAAAAATAAGATGACTAACTATCTTTGGTATAAAAATTTGACGCAACGCTGTAAGCGTGGGGGGAGTTGTGGCGAATAATTGAGGGAAATCTTAGTGAGTATGACACATTTCCGGAGAATCTCACACTTTGGACAGGAAAGGCCAATACTGTCGAGCTTTTCTGTCGGAGACTGGCTATAAAAAAGTGAATTCGTAACATAATTCCATTGTTTTGTATACAAAATGGAAGAGCTGGACTTGGCTGACATGTGATTTCAACAAGACGGTGCCACATGCCACACCGCATACGAAGCAATGGCCCTATTGAGAGACGAGTTCGGTGAACAGTTTATCTCACGTTTGGGGCCCGTCAATTGGACGCCTAGATCGTGTGATATAACGCCGTTGGACTATTTCTTGTGGGGCCATGTTAAGGCTACTGTCTACAGGGATAAACCAGCAACGATTGACGCACTGGAAGCCAATATTGAAGCATTTATTCGTGAGATACCGGCCGATATTTTGGAGAGAGTGTGCCAAAATTGGACCTTGCGAATGGGCGTTCTATCGACTCAAATAAAGATTTAATCGTTTTTTTCAAATATTTTGTGTTTTTTTTTGAAAATCAAATCCTATACCTCTTAAAAAATCACCCGTTATATACCTGCCCTGTCCGGAATTTCATTCTAGGACTATCCGCAAACAACGTATATAGACGACTATACAATTCAAAAATTTGATTTTTGGCCAGCTTTTTAGGATTTTGCCCCACTGTGGATCGGTCGAAATGCTCCTGATCCTCGAAAATGACCAGCAAGATCTCCTGACCTCAATCCAATGGATTTCTGGTATTGGGGAGAACTTAAAGGGATGGTTTATGGGGCTGGTCCAATAACAACTGAAGCACAACTTCGCGAAAAAAAAATTAATGCGGCTGAAATAATAAATGGACAACTTCGAGAACCTAGAGTAAAGGGGCGTTTTCCTAGCGACGGGTTCTTTGCGTCGTGGTCAACGTGATACGTTGAGCGTTTTACGTCGAGCACTTCTTCCTCGAAATTTAATGGGAGTGTTTTCCTAAACGGCGGATCACGTCAGCGTGGAACGTAAAACGTCGACGGAATAGATCCGACTGCTTTCGGAGGAGTCTATTCCGTTGTACGCTGCGTGATTTGCTTTGAGCGCACGTGCTACATTGAGGTTAGGAAGCGTGTTATCTTGTGTATACTGCTGTAAAAAATGTCACAAAGTTCTGTGAAACTACCAACGGTGAAATTTTCTGCCGATGATGACGAAGTACTCATTGAATTTGTACCGAACCATACAATATTGTATGACATGAAAGACCCGGACTTCAAGAACACATTAAAAAAAGACCTCATTTGGATTGAAGCTGGAAAAGTTTTGAATAAAGAAGGTACGTTTTTTAAACCGTTTTAGTATGATATTTATTGTTATTATAAGTATTAGTAACAGTAGGTTGAATAATGTAAATTATATTGTTCTAAAATAATATGGTAAGTCAACAAGATTTTCAAACGGGTAGATATAGGGATTGATTTATAGAATAACCTCTTGAAACTGTAGTTATATAACAGTAGGTAGTGCTTTTAATGTGAGGGAATGCATCACTGCGGACTGAAGTAATTAGTGAGCTGCCTCCTCACTTCAAATCCTTCAGCCCCCGCAAAACCACCTGTACCTGCTAGATTGATAAGGTTTTGGGTTGGGAAGCCCTCCAGATTTGACGTTATATCCACTTTTGTAGGATTCAATGATAAATAATCATCCCTCAGCATGTTGTGTAAACTGCAGCACACCACAATAATCGAGTCAACAGTTTCAGTTTTCAAATTTATTGGAGTAAAAAAAATTCTGAAAATGGTGCTCATGATGCCAAAAACGTTTTCAGAAGTTCTTCTGGCTTTGCTGAGGCAGAAGTTGAACTTTCTTTTCTTTTCATCGTGCAATATTTGTGCTCTGGGATCAGGCTTCATCATATGTTCACTCAAACTGAATGCATCATCACCAACTACTACGTGAGGTAGCAAGGTGTGAGAGTTTGGTAGGTATTTTGGAGGTGGAAACATGGTTCCATTCTTCACTAACTCTCCCATTTTGGACTTTTTGAAAATCCCTGCATCACCCTCCTTTCCATACGATCCCACATCAATAATGAGAAACTTGCAGTTTGCATCAACCATTGCAAGAAGCACCGCAGAATAATATCCCTTGTAGTTAAAGTAGAGACTTCCCGATTTGGCTGGTGCTACAATTCTCACATGTTTGCCATCAATGGAAGCTATACAGTTGGGAAAACTCCAACGTTTCCAAAACTCGTCTGCCTTCTGTGCCCAGCGTATCTCTTCAGGCGGAGGTAAAAAAAGTGAAATAAGCTTTGTCTGTAGAGCAGCTAACACCTTGGGCACGATCTTGCTTATTGCAGAGTGTGAGATGCGGTAGCCAAATGAAAGTGATCTGTACGATTCCCCTGTGGCCAGAAACCTGAAACAAATTTGAAAAATCTTTGAAATAACCAACACATATTAGGTAGTGATATTTTTAATAGAAGTGTCGTGTTTGTTGCAGGAAACGAGTGTAAGAAACGCTGGAAACATATGAGGGATCACTACAAGAGGGAAAAAAAAGAAGAAAGAGGCTCTACAGGAAAGGCTACAAAGAAAAAAAGAGCGGTGTATTGGGAGCGGCTGCAATTTTTGGATACTGCGGGAGATGAAAGAAGCAGCTCTACAAACGTTCTTTCTCCGTCCAGTAATGAAGCTTCAAATCCCGAGGAACCAAATATTAACAATCTGGAACATTCTGAGGAGCACGAAACTCCAGAGCGAGCCTCAGAGCGATCACCAATTGTATCTTCTACACCAACCTCAGATTGCCATGAGGCCATCTTTCGACCGCCAGCACCAAAATCGAGGAAAGAAAAGGTTGCAATCCAAAAATATTTCCAAGAAAGAACAGAGGACAGATTACATTTGAAACGGTGCCTTGACGACATTGTGGGACAGCCACTACCCGAGGACAACGAAATAGATTTGTTTTTCAGAACTATGGCAGCCACTGTCAAAAAATTTAGACCAGACCTTGCCACCAAAGCAAAATCGAGTGTGTTTAAAATTATTACTGATTTGGAAATAGTAAACCAGCAATTGCTTTTGCCAGCCAATGAATTTCATTCGGATTCCTACTCCTCATCATCGTCACACATCCACAGAACCTACCTACACCAGCTTGGACATAATATCAGAAGCATTCACACAAGCGATTCAAAATGGGGATGATAACTAACTTTTCTTTAAGTTATTTATTCAGTTAACAATAACGTAAAAATAAATTATTTGTTTGTGAAATAAAAAGTATTGTTTGAAACGTTTTTTAACTTACCTTAGCGTTGACGCCAATTTTTCTGCTGCTGTTATTGGTTCTTTGACTCTGTTATAGGAGGAGGTTGTTATATCTTCTTCAACGAGGCTTAAAACAAAGGAAAACCGTTCGCGGGTCAATCTAAAATAGCTTTGAAACTTTTCTTCTTCATCACGGAGATGGCGCTTGATCAAAGTGTTGTATATTCCTTCATTCATGCGTTTTTGGAACACAGCACTCACTTCCTTCCTGCTCTCAGCCAATTCCCTGAAAATTATTTCTTCATCCCTGTCATCATCTATGATTTCTGTTATTATTAGCATCGCAGCGAGTTTTCTTTTCCTCCGTATTACCTCCATTTTTTAAAACTGCAACTGAAATCCTACGTTGACTGAAAACGCGTCTCTAGGAAAACACTTTCACGCAGCGTACTGCATTTCACGTCCCTGCCAACGTGATTACGATAAATCGGTTCCGCGCTGCGTAAAAAACCCGTCGCTAGGAAAACGTACCTTAAGAAGAAACTGCGTTCGTCGTAATGAAGCTTGTGTGGAAAGTGGAGGACGACATTTTGAACACCTTCTTCAGATACAAAAAGTGCAGTGTGGGTTTTAAAAAGAAAAACAATGTATGTATCAAAATTGTGTTCCCTATGTATAAGTGGATTTTTTAATACGTTCAATAAACTTTCACACACCAGGTGAAGCGCTGAGACAGTTAGTGGTAAGTCCGTTTTTTTAATTGTTTGCATTTTACGAGTACATTATCAAATAATGAAATAATGCCTAAGAGCCAAAAATAACAAACTCCATCTTTATTTACACTGCGTTCCGTCGTAATTTCCGTCTGGCATTGCGATGTTGTCAGATTTTATTTTACTTTAAAGTCGCTTTTCTCTAAAAAAATGCCGTTTTGATCCCCATGTTTTATGAAACTTTTTGCTCCTTTTAACCCCCTCGATCATCCATTTAAATGATGACTATCATAACGTTTACCCTGTATTGTAGATTTACAGCTTTAGTTTTCTGAGTAGATTGCGGTTGTTAAGGGGATCCTGGGCTGATACCTATGCATGAGTTATAATAGTTCGCAGCTTGCAAATCATCCGATGTAATTTCGATCGCATACGATGTATTCATGTGTGTCGGAAATGCTATGTTATATTGCAGTTTTGTTTTGATAGTGTTGCTAACCAACGATGAACGGTAATTTTGCCTGTTTTTTATACCGATCTGATAATAGCGACCTTGATGGTCTATCTACAAAGCCGTTATAATTTATGGATAATTTTATGGTCTGTAATGATTCATCAATGTGCTAACGATGGTCATAATTTAAGTCTTTACAAAAACTAAAAAATAAAAGGTAATAATGTTCGTGTCAAAGCGCCTCGTTGACTTTTTTTCCACGCCACTTGGCGAGAAAGTATTGTAATCCCAAAAAAATTTTAAAATGAGATGTTATGTTATGTTTTCAATCAACAAGCATTGGTCCGCCTATAACATGAGAAGTACCGCTCGGATTTTGATGAATTTTCCACACCAAGTTACTACTATGCTAAGGAAAAAACTTTTTAGTTGGTAAAAATAAGAAAAAAAATCGCCCATAATTAGTTTTTTGACGATTCAGTGGTTCATGGTTGTTTTTCGAAAATTTTCCCTGGGAGTTAAAAGTCGAGAGTTGAGCTGTTGGGGAGAGGGAGAGGGTTTTTAATTTTTTTGGCGACAGTATATGAACAACTAGTTGCTAATATACCAAGTGACATATGAATCCGAACACCCAGTTTAAATGGTTTTATTTTACTAAAATTTTGTATAAGTACTTAATGAAGCATAATAAGTAAATGATAAAAATTTCAAAATGATTGCACTGCTTTAAAGCCCTTTGACCTTTAATAATGTGTGGATGCACCCTGATGTGCTACGCATTCTCCAACGCGCCTAGGCATGCTTCTCATCAGGTGGTCAATGTCCTCCTGTGGTATCTCATTCCAGGCAACCACCAACTCCTCTCGAAGTGCTTCTAGAGTCTGAGGAGGACTTTGCAAATTAAGCAATTTCCTACCCATCATATCCCACACGTGCTCAATTGGGGATAAGTTGGGAGATATTGGTGGCCATCGTAACAATGTGACATCATTATGTTGAAAGAAGTCTATTGTGACTCTTGCAACATGTGGTCGGGCATTATCTTGTTGGAAAGTTGGATCTGCCAGGGTGTCAAGATAGGGTAAAAGATGGGGTTCTAGAACTTCGTGGATATAACGCTGCGCGTTCATGTTACTTCTGATGAAGATTAAAGGTGACCTGGAACCATAAGCTATAGCACCCCAAACCATAACTCCAACAGTGTGATGAACATGTCTTTCAACAAAAAACTATGGATTCCTCCTTTCACCACGTCGCCTTCTAACCCTGGCACGACCATCGTGCATGCCTAAACAAAATCGAGACTCGTCACTAAAGACAATACTGTTCCATTCCTGATTCCAGAGTGACCGTTGTCTGCACCACTCAAGGCGATTACGTCGGTGTTCTCGAGTTAAAGGGAGGACCCAGTGTGGCCGGTATGAAAACAAGCCAAAACTCCTCATTCGTCGATAAACACTTCGCATGCCAATAGGTCTTCCGTGTTCTGCAAACCATTCATTTGCAATAGACCTGGTAGTGGAGAAACGGTCCCTTAAGGCCAATAATCTTAGGCGTCGATCTTCACGGTCTGTTGTTCTACGGCGGCGTCCAGTGCCCCGTGCTCTTTGCGTACGGCCTACTCGAAGCCATGCCTGACAACACCTAACCACAGTATCTACACTTCTTTGTACTCTAACTGCAATTGCCCGAAAAGAAAGTCCAGCTTCCCGAAGTCCCACTATACGGCCCCTATCAAACTCACTAAGTTGACGAAATCGTACAGGTCTCCGTACTCTAGGCATCGTAACCGATCGTAAAGGATGTCAAGAACCAAAATCCGCCAACGTTGATTCTTTACTGCGGCTGAAATATTCATTTTTAGAGCGTTAGTGAATTAAAGAAAAGCAGTATAAAAACCGGAATGTCCAACTGATAAGGCTGAAAATGTACCACAAGGATCAGTCTTAGGACCCCTATTATTTTCATTATACAGGGTGTCCCGAAAAAAGTGCAATATTCTACCAGCAGTTTCTAGAGCTTAAAATAGGAAGAAAAGTTTATATAAACATAGACCGACAAACGTCCCCTAAGGGCGCTACGGTCTTTTAAATGGGCTCCCCTGATATTTCCGAAACGTGTTGAGATAAAGACATAAAATTTGGTATTCTAGCCTAGTTTTTTATGCTGGATTTTTTCACTTGTTATTTACAGTAAGATAAATACATTCACCAACTTTTATTAAAATAAAACCATTTAAACTGGGTGTTCGGATTTATATGTCACTTAGTATATTATATTTATATTTGAGCTGATTGACTAGATGCTTTGACCATATTTTCATTGAAACTAATGTCTTTTGATAGAACCCATTGTTGAATTTCTGCCTTTCTTGTGGACATTGTTGGAATTTTGTCTAGTGTGGTATGCAGCATTATCAAGTACAAATCACCCTGTATCCTGGACGGGGAGCATCTTTGGACCCATATTTATTCAAACCTACCTTGAAAATCGGTATCAAAAAGTTCACCTAAATCAACAGTACTCTACCGAACAAAAATTTTTTTCTGATGTACCACAAGGATCAGTCTTAGGACCCCTATTATTTTCATTATACAGGGTGTCCCGAAAAAAGTGCAATATTCTACCAGCAGTTTCTAGAGCTTAAAATAGGAAGAAAAGTTTATATAAACATAGACCGACAAACGTCCCCTAAGGGCGCTACGGTCTTTTAAATGGGCTCCCCTGATATTTCCGAAACGTGTTGAGATAAAGACATAAAATTTGGTATTCTAGCCTAGTTTTTTATGCTGGATTTTTTCACTTGTTATTTACAGTAAGATAAATACATTCACCAACTTTTATTAAAATAAAACCATTTAAACTGGGTGTTCGGATTTATATGGCACTTAGTATACTCAGTAAAACATCATACTGATTTCTCCTTGCCTTTCCGCTCATAGTGTGAACACAGATGTTAATTTTAACTCAGTAACAGGTAACATCCAGAACTTGCATTGCCATCCCTGAGGCGTTGACATTGTGGAACAATCTGCCATAAAAGGATTTTATCAGATTTATGCAGTTTGGAAAAAGTATCATCCACTCCGAAGCGGCCACGGCACCTCAGTAATCGAGCCCTGCCCTAGCGGCCTATAATTATCTTTTATACCGCAGACAGAAGTCTAAATACCAGGACATCGCGGTTGATATCTTGACGAAACCCAGTTAATCCGACTTTTGGACTGCTTAAAGTTGTCAGAACTGTGAAAAGCCTCATCAGGTAGATTGTTCCATGATCTACATACCTTAGGGTGAAGGAGCGATCGTATCGACCAGTTCTTGATGTAACAAAGTCGACACGGGTACGATGGGAGGTTGAAGTCAGCCGAGTCTCTCTTAAATCTGACAACAATTGAAAAATTGAAAAATACTTTCGCCACAAAAAACCCAGAACCATTTTTTTACTTCAAACTACATTTCTTGTGTAAACTATTTTAGATTTGTCTGTCGTTATCTAGATTATCTGATGTTCCTCTCATTTTAAGAATTATAAACATGAACGTTCAAGCTGCATTTGATATAGTCTAGTGCAAACTATCCCGAGAATGCGTAAATCGTGCGGTGTACATTCCAAGATAAAATCTGCATATGACATCCCACATCGCTTCAATATACGGCCCGCTGTGATTTCTAGTTATTGCCATCAAATTTTACAATATATTCCACCAATGACAATAAAACGTTAGCGGAACGTATGAAACGTATCGTAACAGCCGCACCTTTCCTAA